CCTCTTAAAGAAGCACTTTAAGTATACTGTGTATACTTCTCTCTCGGGCTTCAGCTGATTTGCCAGCATCACTACTTTTACACTTTGAACATGGTTAAGTAAAATAAAGGTTGCCTGTATACTAGCACTGATTGCCAGCCTGTAGCGATCTGGTAATCCATGGGGCCACTAAGTGACTAACAGTCACAGCACATACAGTGCACATAAATGAAATAAAGGGTGACTCATGTCCTGAGTCGTTCAGAACACAACAATATGAGGTCTCGCCTCGTTACTCAGCACAGCATGCAGTTCAGGTTCCAGGGCCTAGCGTGATTAATATAATTATCTATTATTATTTTGCCTCAGTAGCGAATGTTTGTCTCCTGCCATTATAGTAATGCCATCCCTGTTTCTAGTACTTCACTCCCCTGTTCGGTTTACCCAGTAGCTTTGCATTACTCAGAGCTACTTACTCATTTTCTGTTTACTCAAGACTTTACCCAGTCCCTTTCAGCACCTCTGCCTTCTCTCTAATATAACCTCGCATTGCTTGCAACTGAGTAACTCTTTGTGTCTAACACCGAGCTCACAGGAATACCTAAGAGGATAATTACTTTTTAGTTTTTGCTATGTTCTCTTACACAATACTGACCAGCCTTTTGATAATTGTTCCAAACAGCCATCTGGCCCAGAACCTTATAAGCATAGACACTGGAGATTTGATTTTTGCACAACAGATTGGGAGAGACAAAAGCAGATAGTTATTTCAAAGGAATAGAGGACAGCAAATATGAGTGCTACTTAAAGGCAGAAATAACACCCAGAGGAGTTGGGGGTATGGCCCTATGGTAAAAGGAACCACTTGAGTTTGGATTCCCAGCACCCATGTAAAAAGCCAGGCATGGTAGTGTATACCTGTAACCCCAGCATTGGAGAGGCAAAGACAGGGGGAATCCTGCCTCCTGAGTAGACAGATTCAGAATGACAATGAGAACCCGGTGAGGGATGTGTACATATGTGTGTTTGCTTTTTGTTTTGTTTTGTCCTTAAGATGGGGTCTTGTGTAACCCAGGTAGTGTGGAACTCACTGTGTAGCTGAGGATGGCTTTGAACTTCTGACCATCCTGCTTTACCCCCCAAGGGCTGGTATTAGAAGATGTCTGGTATACAACACCAGTTTTATGCTGTGCTGGGGGTGGGACCCAGGGCCTCATGCATGGATGACAAATGCATTTACTTCTATATGAATACTATCTTGGTAAAAATACCAAAAATGGCTGAGCGTTGGTGGCACACGCCTTTAATCCCAACACTCAGGAAGCAGAGGCAGGCGGATCTCGGATCTCTGTGAGTTGGAAGCCAGACTGGTCTACAGAGCGAGTTCCAGGACAGGCGCCAAAGCAATACAGAAATCCCTGTCTCGAAAAACAAAACAAACAAACAAAAAAAAAAAAACAAAATGTAAAGAAAACAACAGTATTAGTTACATCTCAGAAGAACTTATAGATGATTACAAGAAAAGAGATAGCACTGGGAGCTTTTCAGAATTTTAATCAAAATTAAAAGCCCATCCAGGTAGAATGACTACTTCCCGTAATACCA